ATTTGATTTTATAATCAGTTTGAAAAATAAAAACCTTGATCGAGATGGGCATCTTAATTCAAAACTAAGTTCCGACAGTATATGATCGTGTATGATAGTCGTGCACAAGAGCCGTTTATGTTCATGCTAAGCATCAATTGTTTTTTAACGTATTCACCGTATACGTTTATTGTATTCAACCACCGTATACCATAAAATATAGTAAGCCCTTAGTCGTAGAATGATAAACCCTTCTCCTAGAATTTCAGTACAATAAACTTTTTTTTTTGTATTCATAAACCCTTGTTATTTTCATATACTCTTGTTTTCAATAATCATTCGACTCATAAACCCGTGAAGAGTTGAGTTAAGTCCACTGCAAGAAACAAAGTTTCAGTTTGAGGTCCTTCCTCAATCCACATATGATACTGCGCTATTATGTGGAAAAGTATCTATCATGAATGAGAAAATCCAATAAAAATCTTATTCATTTTCTGACAAATATACTACCTACAGTAATATCTCTGATGTCATCGTTTGATAATATCGATAATGAGCCGTCCATAGCAGTATAATAGATGGTCAACCATAGGTCGGTTCTTCGAATGGGCTGATTTACTTCAAGTAGCTATTAAGTAATATGAATGTTTCCATATATATGACACGTTCTATTCAGGAAATGACGCCTAACTTTTTCAGTTTATTTCATTTAGCAAAAGTTTAGCGTCCACTTCCTTTCTGCTCTTTAAAATATAGTGTTCTTATCCATCGATATCCACTTAGGATAGGACTGTTGGTGAATAAATATTCTTCATGGCTGAGTAAACTTTTCTCATACACTCTCAGTAACTGTACATTGTTAACGAAAAGTGTTGACGATGATTAAAAAATCTGGGAAATGCCGTCGTTTCACATAATTTTTGGCTGATATTTGGAGTAAATGCTGATCTTAGTGCACTCTGATCGGAAGCATGATCCTGCCGTCACTTCCATGATATTCGCTATAGTTATCATTTTAATACTATCAACATCTTGTGAATGTCATTTCTCGATCTTTTTAGGCATCTATTACCATACAGCCTCGCATTCGGAAGCCCAATGATGTAGTTGTCTTCGGTGGGGATCTGGTGGAAAATCAGCTCGAAATACGGAAGATCTGACTGTGATATTGAATATTTTGTATCAGCTACTAGTAGACCTTGATTTTAAGTCTAGTATCAATAACTCAAGCTATTGTTCATTTGAAAATTTTAGTAGTGTGTTTTCATGGTTCCCAAAACTTCTGATGGAACTTTAAAAAATGTAGCTTCACGTATAGACGTGATAGAATCACCGAAGAAGCTTACCATAGCAACACTTGCTAATTATGGAACTTGTCATCATATATGTTTTGAATACAAATAGGTATCGACCTCAGTTTTGTGTTAATCGATAGAGGAGAAGCTGGATTACCTTTTCATTAGATTACAGTTGAGAAAGTATCTTGTTTCTAAACAGGATTAGGGTCACCTTGGAATCTCATAACGTATTGAAGAAGAAAGCACTAGATTTTTTTGTCAATTTTGTATAGAGATCTAGCAATATTGACTATAGATAGAGCTCAAAATTCAAGTTGTTTCTCTTATGTTATATTAAAATTATTCAAAAAAAAGTGCACGTCCATTTAGCTCTGAAGTGAAAAATAGTAATCTTTTTTGTAGATCTTATTACAGCTTACTAATCTTGATAAATTCCTATAGATTCCAATATAGATTAATAGAGTTTTGAATATTTCGTCAATTCGAATATGTCTTGTAGATTTCACAAAGAGATCTTTTAAAAACAAAAACAATTTTGAATTTTTTGATAATTCATTTGCGTCATCAATTTCAGATTATTGAATGATGCATCATGCAATAACTTGGTTTCTTTCAATATCTCTACTGGGTTTTTTATTCGTGTGCTTTTTCGTCAATACTGTTGATACGCTCTCCAGCTATGACAGAACTGTTCTGACACACTCACCTGTCGCATACTGGCCTCTTGATCCCAGTATTCCATACGACTATTCAGGTCACAGTTTAAACGGAGTGTTTACCAATAATCCTTCTGCCACAATAATGCCCAACAATGATACTGTAAGTGTGTTTAATGGAGTCAATCAATATTTCACTATAAATGACAATGATTATTTGGAAATTGTCCGAACTGGTATTCTTACTATAGAAGCATGGTTTCGACCTGACACACTACAGTTCGACCATGAAGAAGGAAGTGGCTATGTCTGGTGGATGGGAAAAGGGAACAACAACCAGCAAAGTTGGGCTGCAAGGATGTACAGCTATAATAACACAGAAGGACGTTTTAATCGTATCAGTGGTTATGCATTCAACTTAATCGGTGGCTTAGGTGCTGGAAGTTATTTTCAAGATAATGTTATCGTCGGACAATGGATTTTGTACACTCTCACTATTAATACAATCAACGTTAGTAGCACTTATCCAACTGGTTATACGAAAATTTTCAAGAACGGAAACGCACGCGATCAAGACTCATTAGTAGAATACAGTATTATACCACAGAATGGTACAGCGCCCATGCGCATTGGAACTCGACAGCTACAATCGTTTTTCAAAGGCGCAATTGGAAAGGTCGCAGTCTTTGACTATGAATTGAACTCTAGTCAAATACAAATTCATTTTAACTGTATGATCACCAACACCAACTGCACCGGTGTATAGCTCTTGCTCAATACAATGCACGTTACAAGTGTGTTTAAAGAACAAACATCTAATATCTGCAATTTGACTTTGAACTCAATTGTATCGACATCAATATATTTTTTGCATTTATTGTAGTGCTATACACACTATTGATGAAAAAACTTGCAAAATAAATTTCTCAACGAAAAAAGAACGAAGTTCGAACATAACTGAGAGGTCTCATAGCAGTTAAAGTAAAATAAGGGAGTACTTTTAGCCACTTTCGGTTCACTTTTCACTGCACAAAAGTTATTGTACGGTCGACTTTCCAAATTTCTAACGTAAATTTATTCGGCCTCGAAATGTCAACGCCTGGTACTTCTTTCGAAGGATCAAAAAATAAGTTTCACGTGGTGGCAGAATATTTCAGAACAACATGTCCGGATCAAATAAACCTACCTTTAATAAGCAGGAGTAGTAAAACGTAATAGATGTTTTTATGACTGCTCAGACAAGTTTTCGTATCTTAAAGACTTACGCATTAACAATTAGAGCATATAAGCTGCAGAAAAAATTTTACTTAGAAATCAGGAAATGAGTCCGCTTGGGAAAGCAAAGATTTTGTTCTTCTTGTTCCACAAAACTTATCACTTTTCTTCAGAGTACGAATGTGGGTGTAGGGTATTTATGTTCGTGCGTGGGTTTAGTGTTAATTGCTCGAAAGGCACAAGATTGAAGAGTAAAGTATTGAGTAAAAAGACCTAAGGTTCAAAACTCGAACGACTGAAATCTCGAAATGGAAGATGTGAATGTTGACCTACCTATTCTTCAAATCCACATAACAACATCCTTACCCACACCCACACCCGAACTCTACAAAGCCCTGTATTTTGTTTTTTCAAAATGTGTAAGTCGATAAAATCCGACAGGGTCCTTTATCTATTATGGACTTTTACACGTATAAGCAGATAAACTTCTTTGGTATCATTCTATTAATCAATCGAAAATACGTACTGAAGTTCTCAAGTTTTTCTATTTTCACTTCAAGAGTCGACACTATCTGTCTCTTATTACTCATCAATATTTTCTTCATCATCCTTTTTTTTGCATTTTTTTAAAGTAAACATTTTCAGAGCTAACAAATTTGTAAGATAATCATTTTAATCTCTGAACTTGAATAGTTTTCGAAAACTTGCTTCTATTTCTTCATTAAAAAAAACAGAGTTTGAAAGACAAAATGGTAATTCAATGAGCTATATTCATAACGTACTTGTTGGGGTGAGTCGACAGCAAAATCAGTACCCAACTCGTTCTCGTATGTTGCTAAGAATGACTTCTTTCCTTCGATTTTCTCTTTTTTCTTATCTTGCATTGAAGCTATTCATCACGAACGAGATATATCATTCCATCGCTTTTATTTTCTGCTTTCTTTGATATTCTCTTCGTCTTTTTTTTTCAACGTCAGTAATCGATTCTACTGCGGGAAAGACAAATTTATGTGCGTTCTATATCTTAACAAGATAGAACACAAGTGAAATATGATACGTATTTGTAGTAAAATAATCTTACACCTAATTTAATAGATTCATCACATGTGATAACTTTTACTTTGCTATTCATAGAAAGAGAACAATCGATGTTAACGAATGAAGACAACTCTG